TAAAACACATCCCTTGATCACTGTGTTCAAAATGCGTTTCTCGTTCTGAACAGGATCTCTCCCATGCTCTCCACACTTTTGCTCAGGTATAAAACTTTTCCAATTCCATGGCTAGAAGATTTTGTTTCTTGACTCCGGCCCTCAATTTTACTGCTTTCATAACCTGTGTCGTCAGGAGAAAAACGTAGCTTAAAATAATGTAAGCAAATAAAACACACAGCAGAAAATGTGTGCAGAAACTGCAGTACAAATACAGATGGAAATTAAGCACATCGCGTTATGATTCCAAAGTATAGCGACTCTAAAATATAGCCAAACCAACAGTTTCGCCACCCGTAAAAGCGCAGCACCTTCTATGGGCCGTACCTCAGCCCTGTGCAAATTTAAAGAGACGAAACAAGTGTTTCATGCTCGTTTAACATCAGAACTGAAGCGTGAGTCATGTACACCACGCCTAAGTAATTTCAGGTGGTGCAGGATGGATACGAATTTTTCGGCAATCGTCATCTTGTGACTATATTTTCTGCGCCGCATTACTGCGGCCAGTTTGATAATGCTGCTGCTAGTATGATTATTGACGAAAATCTTGTCTGCTCATTCCAGGTTCTATTCTACCTTTTCAGAAACGAAACGATCTCCCTTACAGACTCTACTTGGCGCGCAGCCGCACGGTTCAGCAAATTCGAGGTTGCAGATCGATAATCTATAATGGTGAGAGGTAGTGAGCGGAGGGGAAGGGGAAGCGGTGGATTAAGTGGAATTATTCAGTTAAATATGCGCTACAAAAAAAAAATGATAAAATCATAATGACGCGCAACTGACCTCCGGAACCTGCAATATTATCATACGGACTGTTGCAAGAGTCCCTTAAAAACTTAACATCCGAATTATCAGAACGGATGCAAAGATGCGAGACAAGCCCAATAAACCTTGTAATTTTCAGATTTTACGACCAGCAATGGCACCCGGACAAACGCGACTCGTAAAAACTATACGTGATAAAAGCGAGAGACTCGTCTTTGGGTCAAAAGAATCTGTATAACAAAGTTACCTCAAAATGCGTCATTAATGTCGATAATCTGAATGCGTCTTTGTAATCGGATTTTGCATCCTTCTTTTCTTATAAAGTAATCTGATTACTGCAAATACCTATATTCCTTTTCCCTTCGCCTCTGTCCCTCACAAGAGAGTGTCGGGATGT